GTCCACTCTCCCCAGGAACTGCCCTTCCTGCCCCTTGGATGGAGATTCCCTCTCCCACGGCTCTGCAGCAGCTGCCTCCCTCGCCCGGTTCCTGCGGAGTTTCCACCAGATCCCGAATTTGGGAAAGCAAACCGCTGTCTGGCAGGGCCCTTCCTGCAGGAGGCTTTCTGAAAGCAGGGATGTGAGGAAATTCCATACTGGATCTCCCGGCCACGTGCGAGGCAGGAATGTTTTCCTTCAAACCACCGCCCGGGGCAGCCCCAAAGCCGTGATGAGCCGCAAACGACCCGCCGAGCGCACCGTCTGCGGGAGCTGGGGACACGGCCACGGCCCCGGGCAGGGGTGTCACCCCCCAGCCAGGGATGTCACACTCCAGGCAGGGATGTCACCAGGCAGGGATGTCACACTCCAGGTAGGGATGTCACCAGGCAGGGATGTCTCACCCGGGCTGGAAACAATGAGCCTTGGAATGGGGCGACAGTCCCCTCCCACAGCCTGGAGCGGGGAGAACGGTGCCCCCAAAGGGGTCCCTGAGGGTGTCCCCATATCCCCAAGGATGTCCCTATGGCCGCCTCTGTGTCCTCACCCCCCACCCCGTGTCCCCCAGGTTGTCCCCATGCCCCCCCTCCATGTCCTCAATCAGCCCAGACCTCAATCAGGTGAGGGGTTTCATTGGGTTTATTTATCCACGATGTCCTTGGGGTTGTCCCCAAGGGTGTCCCCAGGGATGTCCCCCAGGTTGTCCACAGTCAGCCCAGGCAGCTGAGGGACCATCTCATGTTTACTGGGGGGTACCCACGATGTCCCCAAGATTGCCCCCGGGGTGTCCCCATGTCCCTCCCAGTGTCCCCATTCGGCCCAGGCAGCTGAGGGTCAGTCTCAGGTTTATTGAGGGGATGCCAAGATGTCCCCAAGGTTGTCCTCAAGGGTGTCCCTGTGTCCCCAGGGGTGTCCCCCTGTCCCTCACAGTGTCCTCCTGACCATATCCAGGTTGCCCCCATGTCCCCCAGGTTGTCCCCAGTGAGCCCTAACAGGTGAAGGACCGTCTCATGTTTGCTGGGGGGTACCCACAGTGTCCCCAGGATTGTCCCCAGGGGTGTCCCCCTGGATGTCCCCATGTCTCCATGGGAGTGCTTTCTCCCTATAGAATATAATGGGGACAACAGTGACAATTAGGAAAAGCCAGAGTGATCCATGCAAGTCCCCACCCCAAACTCCCTTCGCACGAGAGCAAATCCCCGCTGATTTTCCACTGGAAGCACGAGCTCCAAGTGTATCCACGATCCAGGCTGGAGCAGGGATAAGGGAGGGATCCCTTTTGTAAGTGTTGGCCAGAGGAAATGGGACTTATCTCCCAGAAATGAATCATGTTCCAGCAAAAGCTTCCTGCCGAAAGATTGTTCTCCCAGCCTTTGTTTGGGGTTTGGCAGCTCGGGAGTTGCTGGAGTTTGCAAAACCAGCCCTTCCCACCCTCTGATCCTGGGGCTGGAATGGGAAATAGGGAATAAAGGCAGAGGGAATGTGGAAGGTTAAATCCATCAGTACTTCTGCTCTGAACTGCTGCAGGATGTGGAGCTTAAGGAGGAATTTCAAAGGGAAGCCACAGATAAAGTGCAGGAGAACTGTGTGTTCTTGGCAAACATACTTGTGCCACCTTGGAATTCTGGCATTGCCAGCTTGGAATTCCAGCATTGTCAGCTTTGAATTCTGGCTTTGCCAACTTGGAATTCCAGCGTTGCCAGCTTGGAATTCTGGCATTAGCAGCTTGGAATTCTGACATGGCCAGCTTGAGATTCTGGCATTGCCAGCTTGGAATTCCGGCTTTGCCAGCTTGGAATTCTAGCATTATCGTCTTGGAATTCTGGCTTTACCAGCTTGGAGTTCTGGCTTTGCCAAGTTGGAATTCTGGCATCGCCTCAGAGAAATCCCTGCCAGGTGCTCATGTTTCTTAGAAACCAGCCTCTAGTTCCTTTTTCTTCCCTGGAAAACCAGCCTTTTGGGATGGGGAAAGGACAATATCTCCTGTTCATGTTGCAGGAAATGTGGGGTGAATCCAGAAAATAAAAATAATTAAAGGAAAATCCATGGATTGACTGGAAAATCAATCCTTAGTTTCCTTCTCCAAAGGTTCCTTTGACAAGGTCTTTGCACCATTCCCATCGTTCTGTTCCCACAGTTCAGGAGGGGAGGGAGGAGAAAGCCCCCCCTTGCTTCCGGAGAATTTCAAATTCTTTTCTTCCCAACGGCAGGGAATTTTTCCTGGGAAGGCAATTCCATTCCTGGCCTGGTGGACTCCTTGCTCATTCCCAAACAGAGCCCTGAGGGGAAGCTCCATTGGCCCCCAGCAACCCAAGCTGAGGTGAAAGAGCTTTGTTGGAATATGAATTAAGCTCCAGCCTGACCCCTTCCGGGGATATTTTCATTTGAAAAAGCTTTAGGAGGCAACTGAAGTCTTTCAGTGAGGGGACAGGACATCAGAAAAGGGCTGAGTGCACTTTACCATGCCCCAGACAAATCCTGGGACTGCAAAGGAGGGGGGAATGGCCTCAAAACCACAAAACTCATGGAGATACAGCTCAGAAACCTCCACAGCCCTGAATTGTTCCGTTAAAATTGGTTTAAATGCTGGTAACAATGGAATCACGGAATCACAGGATGGTTTGAGTTGGAAGGGACCTTAAAGACCATCTGGTTCCACCCCTCCCACTAGCCCAGGTTGCTCCAACCTGGCCTTGGACCCTTCCAGGGAGGGAGCAACCTGTGCCAGGGCCTCTATTCTAATCGGGGTTTAGGGGAGCAGCTTAAGCCCAGCTTTGGTCCTAGAAGTGGGAGAAAGGGTTAAAGATGAGACCACAAACTTGGGATTTTTAATTCCTTGAGAAGAGAGCTCGTTGGAGTGTGAAGGGATGGGTTGTGGAAGAGGGTCTTCTGCGGGGATTGACCTTTCCTCCTGCTGGGATTGACCTCTCCTCCTGCTGGGATTGACCTCTCCTCCTGCTTTCCTTTGCTTCCAACCACCCCTCTGCTGCTGAAGCAGCTACTGGAAGAGGTTTTATCTGCCTGAAGAATCGCAGAGTCATTAAGGTTGGATAAGCCCTCTAAGATCATCCAGTCCAACCATCCCCCAGCACTGCCAAGGCCACCACTCACCCATTTTCCCAGATGCCACATCCACAGGGCTTGGAAATTCCTCCAGGAGTGGTGAGGTGATTTCACAGCACTTGGGATTTCTGGGTGTGCTTTTTCTCTGGATGTCCAACCCTGATTCAAGTCCCTTTGTCACTGCACTCAGTAAAGAGATTTATCCTTGTCCTGACTCCATAAGTTACTCCTGACAGCTCCCAGCTCCCTCCTGTCCCAGGTTTCTGTGGGATTTAGGTTTCCCTCACCAAGATCTCAGTGCTGAGGTGACCCCGACCTCTTACCTTTCCAGGGGGGTTGAATTTGCCACCCCAGAATGCTGCCCAGGTGGTCCCAGCCAATCCAACATTCCATATCTCCAAGTATCCCTGGGAAAAATTGTCAGCACTCCCCCTTTTCCTGATGCCTCCTTGCTGTCAGTGTGTGAAAACAGGGTGGCCTCAGAGGAAAAGAGATCCCAAGGGGTGACACTTGGGATTTGGATTTGTTTGGGGTTTCTTTTAATTGTTGTTATTATTATTTCATATGATCTGTACCAAGGACTGGCTGAAAATCCAAAAAGCTGAAGGTTTCCCCCCCCCCCCTTTTGAAAATGAGGGAGTTCTCTGTGCTAAACTGAGCTGGGGTTGAGTAAAAACTGACTCAAAACCCCCTAAATCAGTACATTTTACATCCCCACCTCAGTGCTTGGCTACTTTCCAGTGAATATTTTGCATGTTATGGGTGTTTTCTGTCACCTTTCAAGGGCACAGAGACCAAGTGATCCAGGACTGATGTTTATCCAGGTTCCACATGTGTGTAGGTGCTTCCATGGAGGAGCATTCCCATTTTTGGGATCTATCTGAGCCTGCTGCATCAAGGGATTTCTTGATTTCATCCTCTTTTGCACAAAAGTTTGTCCCTTCTCTTGGTCCCATAAATATAAATTAAATAAAAGTTAACATGTGTAAAACATATAAAATAAAAGTAAAATATAGATATTATGTATGATAGAATTATAGTTAAAATTTAAATATAAATATAAACATAAATGTAAATAAATATAAATAGTTATAAATATTATATAATTATTTATATTTATATAATAGAATATAAATAAAATATAAAAGTAAAAATAAAACAAAAATAAAACTATTTAAAATAAATTAAATATATAAAATAAAAATAAAATATAGATATTATATGTTATATAAATAAATTAAAAATAAAACAAAAATAAAACAATTTAAAATAAATAAAATATATAAAATAAAAATAAAATACAGATATTATATATTATATAAATAAATTAAAAATAAAACAAAAAAACTATTTAAAATAAATAAAATATATAAAATAAAAATAAAATACGGATATTATATATTATATAAATAAAATAAATATAAATATAAATAAAATAAAATAGAATATAAATATAGAATCAAATATAAATATACTACACATATTAAAAATAGAAATGTCAGACCCCTGGTAGCTGCATGACATCTTTATTTTTATTGGCAAGAGAAGCAGTATACACAGCAACATTGCAGTCTCTTAGCTCGTTAAAAATATCTCAATAAATAAAACAAATAAGCCACATATACACTGGAACAGAAAAAAAAAAGAAAAATAATAAAAATAAAAACAAAACAAAAAAAGGGGGCAGGATGAGCTGTAGCAAATCATGGAGCTATAAGGGAGAGGTGGCAGAGTGTGGAGGGCAGTCTGTGATCCAGGCTTTATTGTCACAAATCATGCAGGGAGCTGGGCACACCGTGGGCTTTTGTCCTTCTTTTCCTGTTTTTTCTGAGAGCCTTGGTCCTGTTTTGCCACGACTGTACAAGAAATCAGGGTCTGACTTTCAAAAAATAGCTCAAAAAAAAAAGAAAAAAAAAACAACACAAACCCAAACCCGCTACAGTTCAGGGGGAGTAAAACCAAACCCAAAGATGTCTCATCAATGCGTTCCTGAATTAAGATTTCTCTTGGTTTGTTGTTTTTTTTTCAGAAAAAAAAAAAATAAAAATTGGTGCTAAAACCCCAAAGCCGGGGACAGACGGACACGAAACCCGGCGGCAATGGACAGCCAGGAATGTCACTTCTCCTCTTCCCGCTGGTCAGCGGCTTTGGGGGGAGAGGTTGCAAACTTTCAGCCCGTTTGGTGCTGTTTTCTGCTCAGTCCGAGTGCTCCACCGAGAGTTCAGAGCCAGGGAGGTCAAGAGGGGTCTTTTGGACCAGTTGACTTGAGGTTTTTAAGGTTTCAGAAGCTACAAACTTGGATAAATCCCAATTCCACTTCAGTTGCAGACGCTGGACACTCTGGAGAGAAGGGAAAAAAGAAGAGAAGAAAAATAAACACACTGGACATCTTTCTGAGATGTGTTGTCTGGGAAGTTCTTTTCCCCTAGAAATCCAGCTGTGGTTCATATCCACCTGTTCAATCCTGCCCCTCATCCCAGAACGTGGTGAATCCGTGCTGGGAGAGATCCAGTTCACCAGGAGCATCTCCTAAGCCTGGGGATGGGAAATGCCTTAAGGAATGGGGAGATGGGATGCTCAGCCTCCTGAGATGGGCTTTAGAAAGCCCATCCATAGCTCTTCCCGCACAATCAGGCAAATCCTGCTGGAAAGGAGTGTTTTCTTTCCATACAATATCCAAACTCAAAAGCAACAACGAAAGAACAGCATAAACTTCCCAATTCCTTTGGCTTTGGGATGTGCAGCCCAAGTTTAGAGTCAAAAACCAGATATAATTTCCACCCACTGAGGAAAGCTTCCATTTAGCTGATTTCCATTTCCCTTTCTATTTCCCTTCCCTTCCTTTCTTTTTCCCAAACCTTCCCAAACCCCTCCTTCCATCTCCAAGTCATTAATTATCTAATTACATTCTGCAGACGAGCTCGGGGACCTGACAGGCTGCCCAGGACCACTTAGAACTGAGCTCAACTGCTGAGCTCAACTGCTTGGGGTGGTGGGTTGGGGATGCCCAGTCTGGCAGATGACAGGCTGGCCCTTTCCTAAGGCTGGCCAGGGAGGGATTCAGGGCAGGAAAATAAAATCCAGGGAGGAGGAAGATACCACAGAGCAATTTTCTGATGGGCTTTTCTGTTTTTGCAATGATTTTCTCCAGCAGGCAGAGGGAGGGTGAGCCCTACCAGCTACACGAGGCTTTGCTGTGCCCTGCTCTTCTCTGAGCTGTGAAAATGAGGTAAAACCTGGCAAAAAGCAATCCTGGGCTTCTCTATTCCCATGGATTTTTTCAATCCTGCCCAGGGGTGCAGAGGTGAGCACAAAGTTGCCCTTGGAGCAGAGCTGTGATGTGGGAGCTGATGATTTGAACCCCGGGACAAACACCTTGCTCTGCTGCTGCTGCCCTGAGGCATCTCGTTTCCAGTGGTTCTTTCTGGTTCACAGCAGCTCTTTTGGCTCTGGACTTCTGGAGAATTGGGAATTTCCCAGCAGTTCAGAGCTAGGAGGTGTTGTGGCTTCCCTGTTCTGGTGTGGTGATGCTCCACCCTGTGAGCAGTGGCCCCCGAGCTCTGGAATGGCTCTGCCATGTCCCCTCCCGTGCTCCCAGGGGGTTGTTTTGGAGGTCCTTTCCAACTCAAAACACTCTGTGGTTCTGTGACATTATCCTCTGACTCTGGCTTGAGATCCTCACGTCAGGAATCTGCTCCTTGAGTCCCGTCAGGGGGAACCTCCTGGCTGAGGAAGAGGGAAAATGCCCCCAAACCATCTGTGGGCTGCTCTTTCCTCCTCTTGTCCACACCACACCACAGCCAAAGGCTTCCTGGAGCTCCCTCTTCCTGCCCCTTGGTCCTGGAGAGCCCATCTGGAAGTGTCCCAGTAAACCCAGTGCCTTCTGCTGGCCCCGATCCCCCACTCCTCACACACCAGGAGGGGAAGCACGACCCCAGTTGCCTTCTGGAGCTGGAAAACGAGGCAATAGGACCCTCCTGGCTCCTTCCCCTCTTTAATTACAGAGATCAACGGAGATGTGGCACCTGGGGACATGGAGTGGGACCTGGCAGTGCTGGGTTAAGGGCTGGACTCGAAGATCTTAAAGGTCTTTTCCAACCCAAAAGATTTCATGGGGCCTACTCTGGAAAGAAGCAGCTGTGGATTTTCCAAGGAGGGGGCAGAGTTTTTTCCCAGCACTAAGGTGGTGTGGTAACAGCTTTCCAGAGCTTGGTTTTAATCCCAGCTCATGCACAGCTGGGATTGCCCTCCCTGCGTGTGCCTCAGTTGGGAAACCCCACTTCACCCCTTCCTGTCTCCCAGTGCCTGCGGGATTTGAGCCGGTGGTGCCCGTAAGGCACCTTGGGATCCTCCAAGGCATAGCTGGATGCCATAATTCCATATTATAATAATTAGGATTGCAGTATCTGGACTGAGAAGTGATGTACAGTGACAGCCTCTGCTGAAAACACATCTCACAGAATTCCAGGATGGATTGGAAGGGACATTAAAGCCCATCTCGTTGCCATGGGCAGGGACACCTTCCACTAGCCCAGGTTGCTCTGAGCCCTGTCCAACCCGGCCTGGAACACTTCCAGGGATGGGAACTACTTTCTTCTGGGATTTCCAAACATTTTTCAGGGATTTCCAAGCATTTCTTCGGGCTTTCCAAGCATTTCTCCCACCCTGTAGCTCGCTCAGACCCGATGCAGCTCCCTCGAATGGAGGGTTTCCTGCTCTAGTTTTCCCTGCTTTAGGAGCACTTCCCAGCCACATAAGGAGCATTCCACAGCCTGGAAAACCCAAGGGCTTCTGGCTTGATGGAAGGTGGCAGCAAAACACAGCCCTAGTTGCAGGAAATTTCACAACAAGTCCCCAAGGCCTTTGCTTATATAGGATTGGGGTGGTTTGGGTTACAAAAGGAGTGAAATCATTTCCATGACGTGGCCAAGAGTGCAAATGAAATGGGAAATGCAGGGAAACTGTTGGAGTTTGTTTGTTAGTTGGTTTTGGTGGGATTTGGTGTGGTTTTGTTGTTGTTGTTGTGTTTTGTTTTTGGTTTTGGTTTGTTTTTTTTTTTTAAGGTTTTTCAGCTTCTTTGAAAGTTGAGAATGTAAAACAAAGGTTCTGCCCCCAGGGCTCAACCTCTCTCCTTCCATGGGGGCTTCTTCCAGCCCAAATTCCTCCCAGGAAGGTTCTGGTCCACCTTCCTGCCCTGTTTTTGGGGGGTGGGAAGGGGCTCAGGGGGTGGGGGGGGTGAGGGGTGTGAGCACAGCAGCGGGGAGGATTTCAGCAGTCACTGAGAAGTTTATAAACCGTTTCCTCCTCCCTTTCCCTTCACCTTGGGGAAGGAAAAAACAGTGTGGTTTAGCCCAGCCCTGCTCAGTGGGACAGCACAGGGCACTTCCCATGGGAGCTGCCTTTGGGAACCTCTGGAGTTGACATAAGCATTGAGGTTACTGGTCCTCATCCGTGCTGTTAATTCAGAAGGATTTAGTACTCCAGGTGCTGCATAAAAACTGGTAAGATATTCCAAACCTGTTATAGGGTGAATGGGGAAGGAGTAAGTCTTGTGTTATTTCTGCTTGGAAATAATGCCTGGACAAGGCAGAGCAAGTGCCTCAGGCAGTGACCTCTCTGGGTGTCACCCAGGGCTGGAGAGAATCTACTTAGTCATCGAGACGAGGAAAATGGAATAGAGAGGAGCTCATGGAACCCCAGATTGGTTTGGGTTGGAAGGACCTTAAAGCTCATCCAGGGGCACCTTCCACTAGCCCAGGTTGCTCCACCTGGCCTTGGACACTTCAGGGATGGGGCAGCCACAGCTTCTCTGGGAATTCCATCCCAGCCCTTCCCCACCCTCACAGCCAAGACTTTCTTCCTAATATCCCATCCAAATCTCTCCTCTTTTAGTTTAAAAATTTATTCTGGAATAGCCCGAGCAGTGCTGGGTTGGGACACAGAAGGGGACTCTCCTGCTGTAGAAAATCAGCCCAATCTTTCATTCTGTGCTAAGCAGCAGCTGCCTTTAATATTATTTTTCAAAATAAATGAATAAATAGGAGCAGTTCAGTTATTGCATGATGTCACCCCCCTGGTGCCTCCTTCTCTGTGGGCACAGGGACAGGCTAAAACCACAGGGAACAATGTGGAGCGTGACTTGGGGGACACATGTGGGCCTTCCCAGGGAAAAGGGCTGGCATGGAACTCTGAAATGCCAAAGCAAGCGGCTCCAGGAAGAGGATTGTGCTTTTTTAAGCTTGGAAATGCCAAACTGGAGAGGAGGATGGATCTCTGTGTCTTGTTTCCCAGGCTGGAAGTCTGAGTTTGGGTCATGGTGAGCGGGAGAGCCCTGTGTCACCTGGGAGAGTGGGATGGATGGAATCACTGCAGGTTCCTGGCTCCTACAGCCATCCCATCCTCCTCTGCCCCCACTGCCATCCCATCCTCCTCTCTCCATAACCATCCCATCCTCCTCTGCCCCCACAGCCATCCCATCCTCCTCTCTCCATAACCATCCCATCCTCCTCTCTCCATAACCATCCCATCCTCCTCTGTCCCCACAGTCATCCCATCCTCCTCTCTCCATAACCATCCCATCCTCCTCTGCCCCCACAACCATCCCATCCTCCTCTCTCCCCACAGCCATCCCATCCTCCTCTCTCCCCCCCTCAGTTATCCAACCCATCCCCAGGTTTGCCAGCCAAAGGATGGACATTCAGACCTTTGTGGCAGCTTGAAGTGCAGAGGTCTGGGATCCCCAGGAGGGTCTTGCTGGGGACACAGAAATCCCCTAATCCCCAGGTTTTCCTCACCTACAGGAGGTGCTCCCTGCCAAACCCCCCTAATTCAACCCTTCATCCCATGCCCATGAAGCAGAGACCAGCATTCCCAGCTGTTTTGGGAATGACTGCTCTAAAAAAGCACATGGCATGGACCAGTGGGAATATCCCCGCTCAGGTTTGTCCACTTTCCCTTCCAGCATCCCGGGGTGTTCTGATCCGCTCCAAAACCTCCTGAAACTCATGCTGCTCCAGCTGAAAATCTTCCATGCCCGACAATGATTCCTCTTTTTTTGCCATTGTTTTTGTTTTCTGGAGCTGGGTAAAAAAAAAAATGTTCCAGCTGTTTTGGTGTATGGGAAGAGTGGAAAAGAGCCGTGCTCCGAAAACACCGACGGCATCCCCGGGACGGGGTGTTGGAGGCTGGAAAGCTGGAAGGCAGCATTCCCAGTTTGCAAAGCAGAATCCCACCTCGACCTGGAGGGAATTAAGGTCGTTTTGACCTAACTGTGAGCCTCCCAAAATCTCCTTTCCAGCTCTGCACGGGGCTGAGTGCTCCTGGGAGCTGGACGATCCAAA